TACTGTGGAAAGATTAATGTATGAGGAGAATGGTGCTGCCCTCCATTTCCTGTACTATTGAATTCAAATTATGAAAAATATATCAAACTAATAGCCTTGGTGACTCGTTATCTCCTTTCCACAGGTACAAAATAATCTATAAAAGGACCTGCACTACCTGTGTGCCTCAAAATTCAAGCCTACAGGGAGCAGCTAGTGGAATGAGAGAATTTCCAGTCTCCAGCACCACTGGAGTTAGCAGAAGTCCTTTTGCTGATGAAAACAAGCAGAGCTCTGCCTCTCCATCCTCCCTCTCTGCTGAGTCTGCCCTGCAGGCTGTCAGCAGTGCCAGGGGCAGCGGGGAAACAACTTGCACTCTCCAAGGAAGGGAGGGGCTGCATCATTTCTACCCTGATTTACAGTCAGTTCTGTGGTGGTTTATGCCATCTTAAACCAAATGCAGACCATTCATGACAAACTCTTCAGTACTTTAATGCGGACTCCCCAGTCACAGCAAGCACAAGAATATTCTGTCATGGTGAGTTGCCTTTTATCCCTTCTCACAAGCCATCATTTACGTACTGCAGCTCTATGGAAAACAGATGAGGCAGGCTGAGAAATCTTGGAACAACAGACCTGCTTAGACCAGATGCTGTTGCTAAAGATGTCAGCTGTTTGCACAGTGTCATTTGGACCAGTTTAGATAGCCCAAGCTACAAATCAAACATATACCTGTTTGTTTATTTTGAGACCAGATCCAAATGCTACTGAAGTGAACAGTGTTCTGTTAACATCAGCATCCTGTGTCTGCTTGGCCATATATTTACAAATATTTAGGTGCTTCAAGAAGTTTTCAGAAGTGACTGTGTGAATAACTGAAAATTGACACATCTACTTATGTTACACAGCTCTGCAGGGTCTTTCTACAAGTACATGTTCTTGTAACTGCCTACAAGAACTAAGTTGCAGTTGAAATAAAAATAATAAAAAGGTCAGATTCTGACACTCCCTGCCTTGTTGAAGATATCTTACTCCAGTGTGTTGATCCAGAGGTGAAATGTCCTTCGACCAAAAGTAAAGCACGGAGGACTTGATACAAAAGATATTCAACTGTAAATGCACGTAAGAGAAACATTCTCCATCTTGAAACCGCACAAGCTCAGACTGCACAGTGTAATAACTGTCACTGATCTTTATGTAGAGAGCAGATAGAAAGCTCCCTGAGGAAGTAGAGATGGAGATACACTAGAGCCAAAAAGACTCCTCTGCAGGGCCAGGGGACTGTGACACAAACAGAAGGACACAGAATTAAGTTTGCCAGATCTGCTGAATGAATTGTACATGGGACTGTAGTGAATCATATGAACACTTGGAGTGTACTTAATGATTATTACTGCTAGTTTTAGGAATTCTATTATCTTTACCCATAGTAATATTGTTAGTGCAAAGGATGACTGATTTTTTAAATCCTCCTAATGGGGCGGTCTCTGTATTCTGTTAATGTTACTGATCTTATTGTCCATCCATGTAAGTGATGGGAAACTGGTTTTTAAATTAATTCAAGATTTTGGTAAATTTCAGAATGTCTCTTTGGTAACACTGTGTTTATCCACCCCTCAGTCAGCAGAAGATCCTACATATACCATGGAGAGTGTTTACCAGAGATTTAACCTCCATGTGGAAGTACGTGTGGAATAATACCCATATCACTGGGGAATGATGTACTGGAGAAGGGAAGTACACTCTGAAATGGACAATTAAAAATTAAAGGAAACTGGTTGCAATATAACAAAGTCACACACTATTTGGGACACAAAAATAATGTATAGACTATCAGGAGATCAGTGTACCAACTTGCCCTGGGATTGTCAGATACCCCAAATATGGACTGCACCCCTGATAGGTCACTGAGATTACTCCCAGTCAGCTCAGTGGTGTATCTTTATGAACAGGGATGAAGGACACATGAAGATACATTACAAATAAGTTTCAAATACCCTGCCTTAAATTATTCCTGAACTGTGGAAAAATTGAAAGGCAAACATGGGAATGGCACAAATTTTATAGCTGTAGCCGTGTGGATACCAAAATACAGAGAATAATGATGGTTGCTTAAGCTTTATGATTGGGATGTATGTGTGGAAGTTAGCCTCCATGATATGTGGTCACCTATGACAAATAATGAAACCTGAGAGGACTTGAATTGTGACACTCAATTTCATCCTTGGGACACAGTCTGGATTAGTAGTGATGGGAAATGGGCACCTCCTCTTTCTTTGAATGGGGAAATAATGTATTGGACATTAGGGACATTAACCTTGTGTCCCTTATGGAGGAAATCACCTCTGGACATCAAATGGTGGGGAAAAATAAAAAGGAGCCCAGATCCTTGGCAACATCTGAGCACTGGCACCACTGTAGGCTGTTGGAGAACGGCTTGCAGAGAGCAAGGCCATAGCTCCCTGCAGGAGCTGGTCGGCCATAGCTCCCTGCAGAAGTCGGTCCCAGCCACCTGAGGTAAACAAAGGAAAGAACCCAGGGTACAGTTATGTAAACAAGGATGGAGATCCAGGGCTCAGTTGTGCAAGTGAGGATTGTTGTGAGAACACAGAGATAAACTGGGGGCGCACTACGACCTTGGGGGGTGAAGAGAAGCAGCCCTGGGAGAGAAGCAGGTTTACAGCAAGAAAGATGTTTATGCATACCAGAAATGCCACAAGGGGCTGGTGTATTATAATGTGACCTTTTGAATGTACCCAATGGCTGAAACATTATAATGTAGTTTCTTGAATGTATCCAATAGAGTTGCAAGTAGTGTATTATAGACTGCTTATATAAGGTGTGATTTCTTTCAATAAAGTGGAAGCTTGCTCTGTCATTCATATTGAATCGGCTGCTTGCTTCCTCCGTCCGCCGCAGTAGGCTCTTTAACACATGTAATTTATGTAGGTTTCTCTTCAGGTTAAGTAAAGGTGGCCCATCCACCTATGACCAAATTGGTAATGAATTGACAAAACAGGTAATTAAATTGACAAGCCAGTTTTTGACGTCTTCCCTGGCCTCTTGGGCCACTCGCTTCCCAGCTCCCTGGAAGCAAGGACGTGCAGGTGTGGCCCCTCTCACATTATTCCCTCTTAACCACCGTCAAACTCCAGCACTGGAGTAGCCACAGAGGACGAGCCGCCTTCTCTCAGGCCACCTTCTGCCTGCTCTCTCAAAGCAGATCTGGGACATCAACTTCAGGTCAGCTTCCCCAAAACAAAGCAGACTCAAATCCAGTTTCTCTGGGGACCAGCCCTGGTGTTACCGTAAATTTGGTCTCAAAAGAACCCTCTAAGACTTAGTTTGAAGTTTTTAGAAGGCAGACATTCTTCACTGCAGCACTGGAGACATGGGGGATCGTTCCACCTGATGTGCATGTTGAAAGACAAAAGCACACTTATTACATACAATAAAATAAATGAATATTCATGTATTTCCTGAAAAGTACATACCTATTTCCAGAGGATTTAATGCCTACGTTAATACATTCCACAAGCATACTAAAATCTGGGGGAGGGCTTCTGAGGGGCTTCCATGGGGTTTTTTGTTGGTCTGTGGTGGTCACTAGTGGCTGTTAAAGAGGTATCTTAGTGTCCTTTCCATGAACTCTCAGGTTTTGTTCATACATGGCCTTGTTTTGACCCATTACTCTGTCTAAAGTTTCTCAGCTTTCTTAACTTTGACTGCCACAGGTGGTGTCTGTTGGTTTCTCTGCCCTCCCCAGGATGTTACCATCACAGCTGCAAAAATTATGTCCTTGGGTGCATTCTTGTCTGAGACACCTTACAGCAATGAGCACCAACTGCTGGCAGGCACCAGCTTCAGGCACCACTGGTGCCTCGGCAGCCTCAAGGGCCTTGACAGCAGCTATCCTGCTTTCAGAGACAGCCTGACCTGGCACCCTCGGGCCCAGGCTGGGCGCTCAGCTGTGTGCCTGACATCTGTCCACACAAGCCAGGATGGCAGAAGGGAGCTCCCATGCCTTTCATGAGCTATAAGGCTGCTGTTCTCCAGGCCACTGCTCTCGCCCCTCCAGGGACTGGCCCTACTCAGTAAAAACACAGAGCAGGCGGCTGCCTCCTGCTTCTCTGCCGTGACAGCCCTGCACCCCACACGTGAGCCATTGGCCATAGGAAGCAGACTGAGGAGCTGAGGCTGCTGCAGCATTTCTCAACGCCATGGAGAATGGCACAAGGGGCTGAGAGCAGGAGCAGCCTCCTCTGCCTGGGGCTAACAGCTGCCTGTCCTTGGCCATGCACACCACAGGCCACAACCACCCTTGAAGGTGTCGGTCCTGATCAGTGAGACAACTGCTAGAGAATGAGGACACAGCACCTGCCAGAGCATGTTGCTGGGTCGGAGGGGGCCAGTGTGGACGGTGCTGCATATGTGGTACCCCGTGCTGTGTGTGGGAAGGGCGACGCTGCTGGGCTCTGCTGGGCTGAGGTGGCTGCACATCCCTGCGTGCCTGCGCGGCTGGGACCAGGTGGGCTCTGCCACGGCCAGACATGTGCTGCTGCCTGTAGCCGTTCTGTTCTGCGGTGTACGAGTTTTGGGAAGGACCTGGTGGCAGAGGGCTGCAGAGAGCAGGGGGGCGGTGAACTCCCCCCAGAGGCTGTGGTGCCACGCTGGGTTTTTCCTGCTGGCCGCTGGCAGGCAGTGCTGGGGGCCGGGCGCTGCTGCCTGCCACGGGGCCTGCACTCCCCCGTCCTGCAAGCGGGGCATTCAGTGGGGTCTGTCGGGGGTGTCCGATCCCAGATTCTGCCTCCCCTCCTGCTTGGAAACGCCCATGTTGTCCGCCCCGCCCCTAGAGACCACCGCACCCAGCCCCTGGAACCAGTGACACTGTGATGTCAGCCTCGTTGCCAAGGGCACCGCGGGCACCACGGGCACCGTGAGCCCTGCAGGCACTCTGTCAGCTGCTGCGCTGGTGGTGACAAGCCCTCAGTTCTGGCAGCTGGCACATGCCACTGGCAGCGATGATTCTCCTCCGTCTCCTCATCGTGCTGGCCCTGTGCTGGCCTGCGACCAGCGCCTGGGACAGCTGTGGGTAAGTGGCCGAGGCTCTGGGAGGGAGCTTGGGCACCCTGATGGGTTTCCCTGGGGGGTGTCCACCGGTCCCCTGTGGTCACACCACGGCTTCCCCAGCCCCACGCAGGAGCCTTGGCTCCTTGCAACACCCGGGCTGCTGGCACAACTCGCCTGCGGGACTCCAGCAGAAAAGGGGGTGGCTGCCCGCCCTCCCCATGGGGCTCCCTGGCCTTGCTGTCCATGCAGCGCCCCGTGGGGAGGGCAGAGGGCTGACCTTCAGCCGGGAGAGCCGTGAGCCGTCGAGCAGGAAGGTGACGAGTTTCTGGTTGCAGAGGGACCTGCGGACTCCGGCCCACGGCTGCTGCTGATGACACCTCGCACGTGGTGGGGGGCAGAGACGCCCAGGCAGGGGGCTGGCCCTGGATCGTGAGCATCCAGGATACCCGGAGAAGAGGCACGGGCCATGTGTGTGAAGGGTCCCTCATCAGCCCACAGTGGGTCCTGACAGCAGCCCACTGCTTCACTGAGGCCAGGTAAGGAGGGCCAGGAACGGGGATATCCCCCGACACTCGCGGGTGCCTCGTCCGCAGCACCACGTGCTACTCCCGTCCCCTTTCCTTGTGGTACGCCCAGTGCCTGGGCACTGCAGAGCCCGGCTGAGAGGCGGCTCAGGAGAGCGCTGGGCTCCTGCCACAGCCTCCAACAGCCTCCACATGCCTGGAGCCCAAGACATGCAGGGGCAGTCTGAGCCTCCATAGCGCTGCTTTCCTCTCCCCCACGGGAAGCAGAGGGCAGGGAAAGGGAACTGCTGGGCTGCTGCAGCACGTGGCGCCGCTCCCTCTGAGCCCTCTCCCCATCTGCCTTCCAGGCACATCACCAGGTGGCGCGTGGTGGTGGGGGCCACCAGTTTGCCTCAGCCCGGCCCGGAGTCCCAGGTGCGCTCTGTTAAGCAGTTGCTGGTTCACGAAGAGTATAACAAGATCTCGCAGAGCAACGACATTGCTCTGCTGCAGTTGGACGAGCCTGTGCGGTGCAGCGACTCCATCCAGCTCGCCTGCGTGCCTGATGCCTCGCTGAATGTGTCCGAGCTGACGACCTGCTATGTCAGTGGCTGGGGGTCCACGATGGCGAGAGGTGAGTTCCCAAAGAGCGCTCGCGTCCCGAGTGAGAGCTCGACACACGGGGGAGGCGGGCTGGGCTTCCTGACAGTGGAGGAGAGAGCCAGAGTCTGGCTGCGGGGACATGTGCCCGTAGAGAGATGGGCCTGGCCCAGGGCCCGCGGCGAGAGAGCAGGGCAACGCTGGGGCAAAGCCAAGCCCCAGGGAAGAAGCTCACCCAGACGGGGCAAGAGACCTGGCCACGAGCTGCCAGGCATTAATTCCTTTCCGTGCTCGCAGGCGCAGAACCAACAGATGTCCTGCAGGAGGCCAAGGTCCTCCTCATCGACCTCAACTCCTGCAACAGCAGCCGGTGGTACGCAGGGGCCGTCCACCCCCACAACCTGTGCGCTGGCTACCCGCAGGGCGGCATCGACACCTGCCAGGTAGGAGCCTGAGACAAGGCAGCGCCCAGCGGCAGCGGCAGCCCCGGCACAGCCGCCCAGACACCCCCCGGCACGGGCTTTGCCGGGCCCGTCGCCCTCCCACCGCTGGGTCCCCGCCGCTGGCGGGGCTCACCTCCCCTTCCCCAGCTGCAGCTCCTTGCCCAGGGCCCCACTTGCCCCAGAGGCCCGGGACTCTGCCCAGAAAGCCCACCCGGCCCTCCTGGCAGACCCGAGGTCCAGCTCACAGCCCTCGAACATCCCTCTTGCACCCGGCCAGCATCGCTGTGCAGAGAAGAGCGTGAGCCCTACCCCACGGGCCCACCACCCCCTCCCAGACAGGGTCCTGTCGGCCCCAGCACCTGAGCAGAGCCTCTGTGCCACGGATACAGCTCGGGAGGGGGCGGGGCAGGCAGAGAGGAGGAGCCAGCCCAGGGGCAGGGACAGCGGCCACCTGACACCACCGTGACGCTCATTCCTTCGTTGCAGGGTGACAGAGCTGCTCCCCTCTTCTGCAAAGACAACAGTGCTGAGTATTTCTGGCTTGTTGGGGTGAGCAGCTGGGGGACAGGCTGTGAGAGAGCAAGAGGGCCTGGAATCTACACCTCCATTCAGCACTTTTACAACTGGATCCTAGAACAGATGGGGCTGCCCCCAGAAGGAACAGCTGCTCCAACGCCACGGCCAGCCTTCCCCCCAACCCCCTTGCAGACGCCAAGGCCAACACCAACAGAATCAGGCGGGTTCAGCTCCCGCCCCCTTCTACTGCAGAACTTGGTGGAGTTCTTGACGTGGTTGCAGGAGCTCCTGCAGAAGCTGAGGGAAGGCCTGAGCAGCAGGATGGACAGGATCCATTGCAGGCTGCAGTGCACCGTGACCATGTCCTGCAGGGGCTCTGCCTGCTGAGCCAATGGCACCCTCAGGGTCAAAGGCCTGCTTGGTCCTGCCCACGCGCCTCCGACTGCAGGAGAAGTTTGTCTTAGTTCTTGAATAAAGTTCCCAAGTTTCACGGCTCACCATGCTTCTCTTCTATTCTGTCTCCTGGGCAAGGCAAGGATTCCATGCCCAGCACCTGCAAAATGAGGCTGCAGGCAGCCAAGCTGGGCACAAAAGAGAAGAGTCACTCTGAGGGGTGACCCCGAGCCTGGTTGGAGGAGAGGGGGAGGGTGCGGTGGGAGAAGGGACCCCTGACCACAGGGGGCCAGAGGTCTTGGGGACAGCAGCTGGAAACAGAGAGCGTCACAGGGTGGCTGCTGGTGGGACCCTGGTGTGTGTGTGTGTGTACAGGGCTCCAGTGAACTTGAAACTCAACTCTCATGACCTGGGAGACACAACTCTGGACAGAGGCAAGCTGTTCCCCGTGCCGGGATGAGGAGCTGGACATCCCACCAGCGATATCCCAGGCACTTGGTGTCCCTGCTGTCAGCTGAGCAATCTCTGCACGTGCTGTGCTGGTGAATCCAGGGAGTGAAGGGTTTTTGTGTTTCACTGTTACTGATTCACGCAAAAACTCTACACTCTATTGGAGTTATACATCAGGGATGTTTACTCTGGCACTGGGGTGCAAGGGGATTTCCCCACAAATCTTGCACCCCAACAGTACATTTTACCAGAAATGTATAGAGTGTGGATATACATATTCATTGGATTGCCTAACACAAACATCCATATGCATGAGTGAGGCTGGGTGAGCTCTCGAGGCTGGTGTCAGCAGTTTGTGTTCTCTTTGCCCTGGTCCATTGCCTCCTGGTGGGCATCTCGGGGGTCTTTGCGAGGAAGGCTCACAGTCCTCCTCACCTTGATTTTTCCCCAGAGCATGCGCATATTCTCTTGGCCAATTTCTTGAATAACAAGTGTTTTTCAGCCAGTTCAGTCATTCTGTCTTTAGATAAGAGAACTGATACAACTTCTAGCATCCATACATGGCTATCATTACTCATTACCAAGACCCAACTAGTTAGAGCACACCTGTTCCCCAAGGACAAAACCATATTTTGCTGAACACTGCAGTTCTTGGTGCATTTTCACAGTAAACTGCTTTGTTTTGATGAACACATTAGTCCTTGGTAAAATTCCACAGGACAGTCTGGACAAGCAGGATTCTTAGCAATATTAAAAAATACTATAATACTGTAACTGCTATAAGTAAGTAAATGTTGTTAAGCAGTTTTCTATAAGTAAATAAGTAAATTAGTCTCAAAACAAGTAATGATTTATCTGCATCAATTCCACCCTTTTCCCTAAGGAAACTATTTTGCAGACAGAATGGTTTCATTAAATTTTATTACTGTCTGTAAGGTCCATATTTGGGGTTTTGGGTTCCTCGATTTTCACAATAAATGAAGATTTACTGTTGTTAATATTGTCGTGATTATTAGTAATATCAGTGTCAGATGAGTCAGTATATTTAAGGGTTTTTTGCTGTTTCATGATCTGATGTATTCTCTCTGTGTCATGCTGGAAAGTAATTAAAGTATTTTGTCCATATTCTTGGACCTGTTTCATCAATCTTTTTAAACTTTCATGATGCAAAAGTTTTCTTACTAGGGTCAGATCCATTTCAATAGGTGTGGGCTGCCAATCTTGAACTAATTTATAATTAGATTATAACATTTTTTAAGTTATGACAGGAGCAGTGTAACTGAAATCACACCCTGTAAGATGAAGAAATTGCAGATACAGAAGTTCAAATTGTATTTTAATATGATTGTAGATTACTTGTGTCTATGATAAGGTCATCTACTTGTGCAGAATCACACAGGGTTCTTAAACAAACACACCCCACAGCCATGTAAATTATAATAGTCTCTGGAGTCTCATTAGGGTGAATCTCAAATTGGCAGATGTTTTGTTCAGTGTCCAGACAAATGTCATGAGCTTTGATGTTGTTATCTTCACAAATGAATCCTTTCTGGTCTCGCACAGTACAAGCCTCAACATCAACAGTTTGCCATTTCTTCTTATTTTTTATAGCCCATACCCTGTGCTCTAAGGGATAAATCACAGTTCCATGATGATTCAATCCTAATGCAACAATTGGATATGTTCTATATACCTGAGCTTGATATATCGTTAATAAAAAAGCTGAGGCTGTGTTCTTAAGGGGGTCAAAGGTAAAATTAACTAAGTGCCACCATGATTGAAATCTTTCAAATTCTGTTGCATTATCCCATATTACCTTTCGGAATTCTCTTGGCAGGATTCTGTCCTCACCTTCCCTGATGATTGCAGCTGCTGTTGACTGTATCCATAATTGAACTTGGACACAACTAAGGGCTGTAGAAACATTGGTTTGAATTGTGTCTAATTCATCTATAATTATTATCGTTTTCATGAAGGTTTTCCCATTGAGGAAATGCACTTGCCATAAGTCACTGATTGTTGCCCAAAGTTAGGAGGGAGGATCTTAGAGGGTATTGTATTATGTTCAGGTCACTGGTTACTGTAGTGAGTTTGTTCAGTAGTATTTCCGAATCAATACTATTTACAACTCCCAATCCTGTCCCTAGAGCACCGATTCGGTCTCTTTTTGTTCACCCCATATGAAGTGTTCATCTTTGCATCCAGGTTGTCCATCCTTCATAATAGGTCTTTAAGAAGGATGAACAGGTTGTCTGGATGTCTGAAATATTGCTTCGCATCAGTAGCTCAACTCGTTTAAGAGACCATGTTGGATTAGATATTAACTGTTGTTGACCAACATTCTTAATTACATATGGGTAATTACATACGGTGTTCTCAATCATTCAAGTTCTGCGTGTGATTTGAATTGGTAACCTGAGTTGGAATAGCATGAACAGGAGAAGTTGTGGTTTTCTCCTGTGTTATATTTAATCTAAATTTGAAAGATACTGCTCGGTCCCCTAGTTTGGTTCCTCCTAAACAAATAATGGATACTGGTTGGATTCTGACAAATCTCAGCCACACAATGGGTTTGGCCTATTCTGTGTCCAATTCTCCCATTGGAAATTTTCTGGACAATAATATGAGTCAGGGGAGGTAGATCTTTTGCATTACTTGCATTGAAGATTCTACGACCGATCTATTCCCTCTTTTCCTCTTTCAGTTGACCAGGTCTGAATTGAATTTCTCTTTTCCCATTTGTCTGGTTGAAAAGTCATGTTGTCATATACTATAATGGTTGCCAAATTCATCCCCAATAGATTCTCTCCCATAACGCCTGTATGTCCAAAATAAGCATCTGTCCAAGGCCCTTCCCAAGCACTTGTTGAATTACAGTTCAGAAAGATTATACGTATGCATACCCATGTCACCGTTTCAGATGTGAAGCTGTAGAGGTCCTACAAGCATTGTTTCCCATTTTGGCTTAGGGGCCTTCTTCTCCCTAGTGTGGTGTATCCATGATATCTGTCCCTGAAACCTGATTGCTGTATGGGAAGTTAATAGGACCTGAAACAGACCCTCCCATTTTGGTTCCAGTGGTGCCTCTGAAAAAGATCTGACATATACATAATCACCAGGTTTAATGTTGTGTACAGGCCTGTCCAGACCTCAAGCCCTGGTCTCTAGGACCAATTTCTCTATTTCTTGTAGCTGCTTTTGTAGACTTATAATCTGTTAATATTTTATCTCCAATTTGGGTTGATGTTCCTGCTTGTATCATATATGGTCTCCCATATACTATTTCAAAAGGACTTAATCCATCCTTAGTTCTGGGTTTGGTTGTGATTCTTAGAAGGGCTAAGGGGAATGCTTGGGGCCAGGACAGTCCAGCTTCCTGGCCTAGTTTTACTATTCATTGTTTAATTAAATGATTCATTTTTTCTTCTTGACCACTGGCTTGTGGATTATATGGGGTATGTAATTGCCAGTCTATTAAAAGTTTACTAACCTGCTGAACAGTTTTTGCCACAAAATGTGATCCCCAATCTGAGGATATTATTGCTGGAACCCCAAACCTCGGTATTATTTCTTGTAACAATACCTTAGTTACTTCTCGGGCTTTATTAGTTCGGCAAGGGAATGTTTCTGGCCACCCAGAAAAGGTATCTGTCAAGACCAAAAGGTACCGAAAACCCCCCTTTTTCTTGGGAGTTCAGAAAAATCAATTTGCCACTGTTGCCCTGGGTAATTTCCTTTCCATATTCACCCGGGTTGGGCTTTCAGTCCTGTTTTAGGATTGTTTTGTAAACAGATCTCACATTGCTGGGTCACCTGTTTGATGGTGGAATACAGATTTCAGGCAACTATTTGCTGACTGAGATATTTATATAAGGGCTCTGGTCCCCAGTGGGATTTTCTATGTTCTGACATCACTCTAGCCCATAATAGTGCAGATGTACTATTATTTTACCTTCAGGAGTCTTTGCCCACTTGCCCTCTTCTCTGCTTCCCTTCCTTGTGGATACCTTGTTGAGTAAAACTTCCCCCATCTGTATACCAGGATTCATCAGCATCCTCTAATGGCTCCTCCTTGAGGTCTGGCTGGCTGGAACAAACTGCTTCAATTGTTTCCAGGCAGTCATGTGTCACTGGTTCTCCTGTGGTTCCACTCAGAAAAGAAGCTGGGTTGACAATATTAATAACATCTATTTCTATATCATCCTGTTCCACTAGGAGGGCCTGGTATCTCAGGTACCTTTGTGGTGAAAGCCAGTGTCCTCCCTTCATATCAAGCACTGCAGACCCCATGTGGGATACCAGTACTGTGATTTTCTGGCTTAATGTGAATTTTCATGCTTCCTGGATATTTAGAACTACTGCTGCTACCGCCCTCAGGCAGCTCGGCCATCCCGTGCTTACTTCACCAAGTTGTTTAGAGAAGTATGCCATTGCCCTTCTAGCTGGTCCCAGATTTTTGTCCAGGACCCCTGGGGCTATTCACTGTTTCTTGTGGGAGAATAACCAGAAAGGCTGAGTGATGTCTGGTCAGCCCAAAGCAGGAGCATCCATTAGCTGCTTTTTCAGCTGACGAAATGCTCTGTCTGCCTCTCCATTCCAAATGAGGGTTTTCCAATTTGATTTTAATAGTTCATAAAGGGGTTTTACCATGAGTCCATAGTTACATATCCGCAGGCTATACCATCCTGTCACTCCCAGGAACGTGCAGAGCTCTTT